CCAAGGTCGAAGACTTCTACGCAGACGTTGCCACGAGAATATTCCCAACTAGCAACCACATGGCCAACACGTACGTGGCGATTGCGACCATCCAACTCGGAGACTTCCCACGGCTCAGGGAACTACTCAACCAACTGCTGACGCGCTATGTGAGACTTGTTCGCTCCTGGGGTGTCACAGAGACCATATCACGTAGATTCCTGGAGCGGCGCATTCTTGGCGTGGCGTCTCCGCAGTGGAAGACCTAAACCCAGTCTGGGGCGACCCAGACGTCGAACAGGCTCGCCCCAGTGCCCAAGACCTGGTTTGTGAACATGGGCACTGGGGCGAGCCTGTTCGACGTCTTGCAGAAGATAACCACCACTACAACTGGCAAGGGACGCCAGTGCTGGCCGTCGTCGCAACGGGGAAGAGGGCCCAAGAGCAACAGAAGAAGACACCGACGGTGTACTCTCCCTACGTCAAATAAGAACGAAGCGTTTCTGCTACAATTGCGGACTCCCCAGCCACGGAGAAGGAGAGGGCTGCCTAGCCCAAGCTAGAGACGGCCAGCAAGATAATCGGGGCGAGAGCACTCGATACGACAGTAAGTGAACGAAGGAGGCAAACGTCGGAAGAGAGCTTCCGCTAACGCTCTCTTTAGTGAGGTGCCGACGAACGACGACGCGGAGACCGAGCAGCCGACGAGAGCCCTCCTGACACGAATGAACGAGGTTGAAGCAGCCTTGCTCAAAATCGCCCTTTCCTGTACAGGCCCAGGCACCCAATACCCCTTTGCAGTTCTTCATAGATTCCGGGGCCGAAGTCAGTCTACCAAGAGAGCGCGACAGAGAGAGAGCGGGCGTGCCATTCTCAGGGCAAGGCATGAGAATCGACACTGTACTAGGATCTGGCCCCTCAGCCGAGACGCGCTGTGCGCCCAGAGGGGACACGTCGACGACTTAAGACTGCGGAGAGACCCCGGCCTTGGACCTTGTCAAGGGGGACTTCGACACTCGCGTGGCGACGAACCCATACCGGTCTCTGCTTGCGCCTGGACAAGAGCGAATGGTTCAAGGATGAAGTGAAGTACCTCGGGCACGTCGTCGGCCAGACGGGCATAGAGGTCCAGGAGAAGAAGTCTCACTTCACGGTCAGCACAGATCACAACAACCTACGGGCCTCACCTGCGTGGACAAGGGCAAGGTCTTCAGACGGGTACTCGCACTAGGCGACTACGATCCCACCGTCGTCTCCGGCGAGTCCAACAACATAGCCGACTGGCTGAGCGGAAACGCCGGCGACGACGACGGAGACGAAGCACTATTGGACCGGATATCACTGAAGGTCGCAGCAGCTGTGTGAGCATCCCGACTGCTCAAGGGAAGCACCCCCGACAAAAGAAGACTTCGTCAAAGCATACGCCGAGGAGGGGAACCCCAACCTACTTGGTCTTCACTACAACGGCCTATGGTGGATCCATCTCAGGACAAAGGGCATCTGCGTTCTTCGCCAGTCGCGCACACGGCTGCAATGAACCAGTTCCAGGCCATAGTCCCAGGCTAAACTGGCCCCGACCAAGGAGGGAGGGTCGCCCGTTTCGTACCAGGCTGGATTTTTGTGTTATATGATTTTTTTTTAGTCGAGTGGTGAGGTCGTTTTTCTGATGAGAAGCCTACGGTCGGTGCGGTTTGGTGGAGTGAAGGTTAGTATGGCGTTAGCGTGTTGCATCAATGGGCGGGAGAATATCCGATGACGAAATCGCAGTCCGACTTCTCGAAGTTTCGTCGTCCGACTTCGAGAAGGGTGTTATTGCTTTGCCACTCCGTGGAAACTCGATCTTCCTACTGTCTGGGAGGGTGTCGTTCGCCACCTGGAACCCTTTAAGTGCTCGTACCAGTGCAACGTCGAACACAGAAAATTGCTGGTCGTTCGACGAGCGGTGGAGATTGGGGGTTCGATTCTCGGCGTTGACCTGTACGGTGTCAGCGCACAGGACCTGTATACACTTGGACGGGAAGCGGAAATATCTACAGGATTTATTGGGAATCCGTTCAAGGAGACCATCCCACCCAGTTTGCTACCGCTCATCGGCCAAGACGCGTTATCGGACTCTGGTCCGAAATCCGTTAGATAAAGTTGAGGACTGGGGCTGGGTTACCCGGTTCTCCACAGATCGCCCCTGCCTACCGCGGCCCGGCTTGATTCTTGACCACGGAGCCGTCAGCGTCGTGTCCGATGACAAACTGATATCTTGTCGTTGACTCCGTGTAAGCCAAAGCAAAACGCTTACCAGGTCTATTGGGGTTCACGTGAACGAGAGGACACGCTGTCCGGGAAGGGGAATGGTCTGGCACAGACCACCATACGACGAAGCAGTTCGGGTTGCCAGCTGGGTCGCGCATGACAAGTTCCTGAGCCAAGTAAATGTCCAGGCCGGTACTTGTCCAGACAACTAAGCCGGTCTGAGTTTTTGGGTTTCCTGGACGTACAAGCCGGAGCCTGGTGACCGGGCCTCGTGGACATACGAGCCGGAGCCTACGAGCCGGAGCCTGGTGACCGGGCCTCGTGGACATACGAGCCGGAGCCTGGTGACCGGACCCCGTGGACATACGAGCCGGAGCCTACGAGCCGGAGCCTGGTGACAGGGCCTCGTGGACATACGAGCCGGAGCCTGGTGACCGGACCCCGTGGACATATGAGCCGGAGCTTGGTGGCCGGACCTCGTTATCACTTCGTTGATATGGGGCAGTGTTGTCCACAGCCACTCTTTCGGCTTGGTTTTTTTCTACTAGTCAATTTTCTTGACCCACTCCCTCGAGGTCAGCACTCTCACGACGCCCATCTGGGTGATCAAACTCTAGGACCGTTGGGCTATCTCCACCGTTGGTTTCATCTGCGTTGTGATGAGCGCCTTCCGCAGGCGTTTCTTGTTGGAATGAGCCAGTGGCCGGGCTCAAAAAAAACCGGTCGAGCCTCTTCAGGATGCAGCTTCGGTTTTGTGGGAAGACGCCCCCGTTGGGTCTGGCTACTGTTTTGTTGAGCTGGGGTCAGCTCAATAAAGAGCGTTGGGGAGCCACCTGCGCAGGCAATGTACAGAACTCGTCATCGCAACCCATGGAGTGGATATTGAGCCCCCAAAACGGCGGCTCAGTCGTTGACGCAGGAACCATAGGACTGCCACCTGCGAGCGGTACTGGAATGGATTTGGCAAATGCTGGCGGTCAGGCCGTCAAGCGCTGTGCTACTGAGTCGTCATGTGATGCTTCGCGGCCAAAGAGAATGTGTTTAGAGTCAGCAATAAGTTTCTTGGATCAGACTTCAGAAATGAGTGATGATGCGGTCGCAAAAATCGATTGGATTGTTGCTGAAACGTTGGATGAGTGGCACGAGGGGGATGATGTCATTGCAGAAATAGACAGGATTATAGAAGACATGCTGGCGGGTCACCCTGGTGCCCGATTTGAGAGTAGCACGGTGGGGAATTCTACGGCTCTACAGCGTTATTCTGTGGGTCTAGATATGGGTGATAGTGTAGGTGCTAATGTTAATAAAGGTATTCAAATGATCTTCCCAGAAGAGGAGGGGTTGTTTGTTGATGCGAGATGTCTGGTATGGGCGTATGACATACTAAGTCATGGTTGGTGGCACTTGGTTCCTTTCCAAGTGAAGAAGCCCGTGTCGGTATTCGGACTAGCCCGGAAGGCTGTTGAGTGGGAGGAAGCGAGGAAGGCTAACCCAGCTCTAAGAGCCAATGCCATCTTGGGAATTTGGTGTTATCGAATTCCTCATAATATCGTACCTTCTTGGAATGCGGTAATGCTCTCCGACTGGTTGAGAGAGCGACGATCTGTAAATGACGTTGGCTTTGGAAGCCAGGCCCAAGACAAAAAGCACCGTGGTTGGTTCATTCCGTTAAGCCAAGTCAATGCTGCACTCCTTGATCTATTGACAAGCTGGCCAGTAGATCCGAATTGCAGCTACTGGATTACTGAAAATATCCAGCGTTGGTGGAATCGCTATAGGAAGCAAATAAATAACAACTCTCAACGTGTTCCCACGGTGACCTTGTTACAATTTGAGAAGTTAGTGCTAAAGATGTTGGGGGACTTACAATTGCCTTTAGAACGAGTGCCAAAGGAATTGCGTAGGGCTCAACGAAGGCAACGAATACGTGAGAGAGCGACAGGGCTAGAGATGAGGAATCCCAGAGATGCGTCCTTCATCCAAGTCATCATGAGCGACTTACCTCCACAGCATCTAGTCAATATTTCCGGAGACAAGTTTCAAATAGTCACGGACGGAGAGACTGATTTGCGAATTCCACCACGCTACCTGGTTTGGGCGTATGACATTCTGAATCATGACTGGTGCGGTGTGGTATTGGAGGCCATATTGTCACCGGGACTGTCAGTTTTCCAATTGGCTCAGAAGGCTTGGGAGTGGGAGAGTAATGGTGGAAGTCTTTATACCTTGTCATCCAGTTGTTATACATGTGGAGAGGATGGCAGGAAACATCCTGCAACGGAAAGTTGTGAGAGGTGTGAAGAACCGTGGAACCCGGAAGAGTTTTGGGAATGGCTTCGGTCGAGACATTTCGAAAATATTTACGATCAGAACAACTACGATCAGAACAACTACGACCGGGTAGAAGAATCTCGTAAAGTTGCGATAAGATTCTCAAGTCAATCTGTCGGTAAACTTCATCGAGATGGTTTGTCCAAAATTATTGATGAGATTGGCTTCGATATTCCGGCAGGAAGAGAAGATTCGAGATTTCAGATGTGCGACGTATCAGTCGAGAAGTTCATGCCTACATTCGGCTTTACGTCATTGTCCGGACGATTTGCATCCTGGTGGATGGCACCCTGTAGTACAGTGTTCAAGAAATCCTCAGACGGGTTTTGCCGATGGGAGCATGAGCGTTTGATGGTGCCTAGAGTTAGTTCTACTAAGCTGGTGGCTCCCATTACGGTCTGTCCGATGGTTTGCGATACTACAGAAGTCCAATCTCGCTGTGAAGTTGTTAATGGTTCCTCGGAGATAAACACTTGTGTTGGAATTAACGAATCTATCCCAGCATTTGATATCACGTTCCCACAAGAGAAGGAATTTCGAATCGCAGCCAGATACTTAGTATGGGCATTTGACATATTGCATCGAGGTTGGTGGCATTTGGTTCCTTTCGAAGTGACAAAACCGATATCAGTGTTTGGACTTGCCCGAATGGCTGTCGAGTGGGATATAAGGACGAAGGATAACCCCACTTTAAAGACCAATGGCACATTGGAAGCGGGCTGTTATAGAGCTTTCGCTTACGACCATGATTGGGATGTACTAAGATTTTCTGATTGGGTGAAGTGGACGCGAAATCCAGACGATGTTGCAACAGGAGATTTATCCCGAGATAAAAACAGGCAACGTGCGGTGTACATTCCATCGAATATCGTCAAGACTGAACTCTATGATTTAATGGATCGGTGGCCGGTTACTGAGTTGGAAAGTACCCGATTTGCGGACACCCTAAGTCGTTGGCGGGGTCGCTACGATTACAGAATGAAAGGCGGCGTCCGGGATAGCTCACCACGTTCTGCATGCATATCATTCCGGCAATTCGAAGCGTTAGTCGTAAGGACGCTCGGAGATTTACGGGTGCCCTTAACCAAGGTATCAAGGGAATTCCGTAAAAGTCAGAGAAGGCAGCGAATATCTGAGAGACTGGTTGCATTGAAAGGATCTTTGACCGGAACCGATCCCGGGTACGCGTCCTTCATCACGAACGACTCACCTCCACCCCATCTGCTCGATATTTCGGGGAACAAGTTTCGGGTAGTCACGGATGCGGAAGCTGAACTAAGGGTTGAACCACGTTACCTAGTTTGGGCGTACGACACTCTAAGACATGGCCGCCGCGGTGCCATACCGGAACCCTTACTGTCCCTTGGACTGTCGGTGTTCGGATTGGCTCAGAAGGCTAGTGAGTGGGAAGCCGACAATGAACGTATTTATATCTTGTCAGGGAGCTGCTATAACTGCGGCGAACGTTGTAAACTTCATTCTCAAAAGGAAAGCTGTGAAAGGTGTGAAGGGCCCTGGAACCCCGAAGAATTTTGGGAGTGGCTTCGATCGAGACATTTCGAACACCTGTGCGATCAGTTGCAGAATGCTGATCAGATGGGAGATTTTACTCAATCGACCCATTCTAGCTATAAGGTAGGTGGGGTGTATGACGTCATTGAAGATATCGGGTTTGATCTTCCGCCCGCAAATGACGAACCGAAAATCAAATTAAACGATCGTGACTTCAACAGGTTTACCACGCAGAAGCACCCTCTATCATTTGAGACGAAAAAGATCCATCGATCATTGGCCAGCCGATTCAGGCAGTGGTTAAGACTGTCGAAGGCGGGCGAATTCTCCCACGAAGGAATTGATCGGTGGCAACTTGAGCGTTTGGTCGTACATAAACTCCGCTCACTTCACTAATGGAGTCTCACTAGCTGTTTGCGTCCCCAGTCGTAATCCACTCCTTTTTACATTGCCAGACTATCGGTCCTTACTCTCTAGACGACCGCAATCATCATCTCTTCCACACACAAAAACAACTTTTGGGTCTCTTAACAGCCATGATCAGGAGTCTTGCTATCGCGTACGAACGCATCTCATGGACAGCGAGGAAAGTGCCCAATGCCACCGCGTTGGATCCGCGTTGTTTACATTGACGGCGACGCTATGACGGTATGTGTGCACACACGTGTGTGCTCACATGTGTGTGCTGCTAATTGGGGTGGTCGTGAGTCGGCGCCGATTGGTATGGAAGACGCTCATGGCTGCTTCATGGAGGCTGAGATGAACAGCGGAATGTTTCGTTGAATTAATATAAGTCCGGCTAATATGCCACCTGGGCTGAGCTTGAGGAAATCGCCCCCGCCGTTCGGAGTGATTACCGTCTTGTTGAGCTTGGGAGGCAGCAGCCAAGCGCACCTTGCTGCCTCGTCGTTGCAAGCCGTGGAGGGGTCAGGCGGCACTCTCAATGACGGTGCCGATCCCGATCTCAATGACAGGGCCGCCGGACCGACGGGTGTCGTTAACGCTGCGATTAGCCCGACGACGACCAAGCGTCGTGCTACTCGGTCGCCTGCGGACGCTGATGCCACAGTGGGTGCCTCGCCGCCAAGACGACTCTGTCTAGAATCGACGAAAATGTGTTCGTCCTTTCGGGGTCCCCGTAAGCATTTCTTGGACCGTTTTCTGACGTGCTCAGCAGACCGTGCAGAACGAGATGATGTCTTCACAATGGAAGCTGATGGGCCTTCGCCGGTGATAGACCCAGTGGAAGCCGACACGTCGGCAGACAACCTTTGTGATGAACCGTGTGGCCAGTTTGATCGTAAAATGGAATTTCACTCGGGGAGCCCAGAGATGGATGTCAGTATGTCTGAGTGTGCTGGCGTTGAAGAGGCTGCATTCGTACTCCGCAACCGGAGAGATAAGGGATTCCGTATTGAAGCAAACTATTTGGTATGGGCATACGATGTATGGTATCATGGTTGGCAGCATATGGTACCCTTTAAGATACCTGAGCCATTCTCCGGTTTCGGATTGGCACGCGAAGCGGCGAGGTGGGAGGCGGCCCGGAAGAGGGACCCCACTTTAGAACCTAACTTCATGTTGGACGCTGCCTGTTACAGCAAGTGCCCTGGTCTATTGGTTGAGTGGGATGAAAGTGCTTTCGATGCTTGGTTGACACAAACTCGAAACAACCGCGATAACGTCGGATTTAGACAGGGAAATTGGAGAAATGGTCGCACAATCGCGTTAAGCCAAGTCGATGCTGCACTGAACGACTTATTGGAGAGCTGGCCTGTAAATGATAAGGGACTCGATTTTATTGGCAAACTGCGACGCTGGTGGAGGAATCCGTATGCACGGTCATTAACAAGCATGGCAGGCGGAGATGTGTCATTGCCGGAATTGCACGGGTTAATTTTGAAGAGGTTGGGCACCTTACGAGTGCCCTTGGATCAGGTTGCAAAGGCGACTCGCAGGAATATTCGAAGACAGAAGATACAAGAGAGAGTGGCAGCATTGACCGGAATAGACGATCCGGATAGTGATCCTGGACACACGTCGCTCATCCAAATCATCATGAGTGACTCACCTCCATCTCATCTAGTTAATATTTCGGGAAATAAGTTTCAGATTGTCGCGGAGGCAGAGACTGATTTGCGAATTCAATCACGCTACCTGGTTTGGGCATACGATATTCTGAATCATGACTGGTGGAGTGCGGTACCGGAGGCGGTCTTCTCACCGGGATTGTCAGTTTTCGAATTGGCTCAGAAGGCTTGGGAGTGGGAGACTAATGGTGGAAGTATTTATACCTTGTCATCCAGTTGTTATACATGTGGAGAGGATGGCAGGAAACATCCTGCAACGGAAAGTTGTGAGAGGTGTGAAGAACCGTGGAGTCCAGAAGAGTTTTGGGAATGGCTTCGGTCGAGACATTTCCAGAGCATCTGGAGTCGGATAAATAACTTGAAGAAAGAGACGCATACTCAACACGATCAATCGGTCAGCTGGGAACAAGTGCATAGAGATCGGTTAAGAGAAATGATTGATGAGATAGGGTTCGATGTTCCCACAGGAAAGGGTGATTCAACATTCGAGATGTGTAAGCAAGATATTGAGGGGTTCTTGCCGACAGTGGGCTATCAGTCATTGTTCGGGCGTTTCCAACGTTTGTGGATGGCAAATGCTGGAGTTTTCAAGAGATGTGCAAGTGGTTTTTGGCGCTGGGAACATGAGCGGTTGATTTTGCATCGAGTTAGCTCATATTCGAAGGGCCACAACACGTTGGCCATATCCGACCAGGAGGCTCCCAGGACGACGGTGAATAGTTGCCACTCAGGGGTAGACAGCATCACATGCACCGGAATCAATGATTCCATTCCTGCATTTCGAATCATCTTCCCACAAGAGATGGCTTGGACTGTCGACGCAGGATATCTGGCCTGGGCATTTGATATATTCGATCGGGACTGGTGGCACTTAGTACCCTTCGAAGTGTCCAAACCTATGTCAGTGTTTGGTCTAGCCCAAATGGCTGTCAAATGGGAAGAAAATATAAGAGCTAAAGAATTATCGAGATCTAGCTGCATATTGGAAGCGCGATGTTACAACCCTCCTCAGGGTCACAGGGTTGTCTGGAATGCCGCAATGCTTTCCGAGTGGGTGACGCTGGGACGTTCTGCGAGTGACGTTGGATTCAGAAGTGCGTTGCAGAACGACAATCGAACTGGTTGGTTCATTCCGGTCAGCCAAGTGAATGATGCACTGCATGACCTACTGGAAAGCTGGCCGGTAACTCAGTCACACAGCTGCCAGTTTACGGAGAACCTGTTACGTTGGCGGTCTCGTTACAATCACAAAATAAATCGTTGCTCCCTAAATGGACCTAAACTGTCAACAAGGGAATTTGAAAGAGCAATTGTAGAGATGTTGGGAGACTTACGAGTGCCTATGGACCAAGTGCCCAAAAAGATGCGCAGGCGTCGTCGAAGACGACAAACATGTGAGAAGATCGCAGTATTGACTGGAGCAGAAATGAATGACCCCGAACACGCATCGTTCCTAGACGTCATGATGAGCGACTCACCCCCATCCCATCTGATGAGTATTTCGGGAAATAAGTTTCAGGTAGTCAAGGAAACAGAGACTGGAATGCAGATTCCATCACGCTATCTGGTTTGGGCGTACGACGTTCTTAATCATGGCTTGTGGGGTGCGGTACCCGAGAGCATCTTCTGCTCTGGAATGTCCGTCTTCGGATTGGCTAAGAAGATTTGGGAATGGGAAACTAGTAGTGGTGGAAGAATTTACACTTTGTCAGCAAGCTGTTATAACTGCGGAGAACGTGGCAGGATTCATGCTACTATAGAAAGTTGTGAGAGATGTGAGTTGTGGAACTCGGAAGAATTTTGGGAATGGCTTCGATCGAGACATTTCGAACACGTGTGCGATCAGCTAAAGAATAATGGTCAGTCGTCGAAAGACTCTCGTCAGTCATCGAAAGACTCTCGTCAGTCGTCGAAAGGTTTGGACGAATTAAGTCGAGATCAGTTGTCTCAGATGATTGAAGAGATCGGGTTCGAGCTTCCGTCAAAAAGTAAAGGGCGGAAAATCAAACTATGCGCCAACGAAATCAGCAATTTCTTATGTAGTCATCCGTTTAGGACGACGAAGACTCGGACAATGTTGCCCGAAGGTTTCAGGCATTGGTTGACAAGGCGGAAAACGGAGGAGTCCCCGAACGATGGGGTTGATAGATGGGAGTATGAGCGTTTTATCGTACACCAAATGAGCACCGACCTTACGAACGAAGATGCCCTTAACTACCCCCACAGGTCTGAACAGCCAACTCCTGACCAGCACCGGACTAGGACCGGACCCATCTCGTCAGCGGACCGAACCGACCAATGCACTAGAACCGGTGTGCTGGACAACCGTTCGATACAACCGTAGGCTGGTCCACAAGTGATGATGGTCGTAGAGCAATTAGTTAGTACGGATTTAAATTTTTTGGATGAAATCATTGGTAGCCTGTGAGCGGTGGGTCATGCATGCATGACCACGCAATCTGTAGAATCTCACGTTTGTAACGAATAGAAGCGAAGGCGTTTAGGTGCGTGTGTCTTTAGGTGGACCTTTCGAAACAGTAAGCATCTGATGTGAGGCTTTGGGGCAATTAAGTGTGCTGTTGAGTTGGTTGTGTGTGGTGACTCGAGGACCAAACGAGGTGCCGACGGGAGCAAGCACGGAGCGCCACACAGCCCCAAAGACTATCCTCGCCACTCCGACCACTCCGATCCTTCGTCCGCCCGTTCCGCCCGTATCCCCTCAGGCCGACGGGTCCCGGTCGCACACCCTAACGGTCCACCATACTTATTCACACATCTTTCGGCATAGCCAGGAAACGCAACTCCAGAAGTGCATGTATCTTACAGATTCCGGCCACATCAAAGACAGTTCATTTGAGTACATCGCGTCAGTCTCTATCAACCCCATTACTGATGCCAGTCTTGTTGCCGGGCGCGGGATGTTCTTGTGTGCGATCACAGCAAAACTCACAGCCTCGCGCAACCTCACCCGTCTGTCTGGTTAGTTAGCTCTGGACTACCAGTCTGACACCACATTCTCGGTACCCTTCAGATACTCTACCCTTCTTTCCCGCACACGACACAGCTAACAACAATCAGGCCAATCGAAAGTTCGTGCGCTGCTACCAATCCTCAGCTGCTTGGCTCTATCGGTGTTATCGCTAGATATCAACTTGCGATACCACGTCGTCGTGGTATCGTCAATGTGCACATTGTTGCCTATGAGACCTTCAGAGACGCGATCCATCGCCTGCTGAAACAGGATAGGTGAGTTCTTAACTGCCGACTCCCCCCCCCCCCCCC